GGGGTGGTGGAGCTGATTGACATTTCAGGCTAGGATCAGGACTAGCCTCTTGACGAGTCCAAAGAGCGTCCGCGTAGGAGGCTAGGCTAGGGCAAGAAGAGTTCCGTGGATTTTTGCATGCTGGGTAATTTACATCACAAATGTTTCCCGCAAGTTCCTCTCAGGGGGCGCAACCAGGATTTTTAAAAAGGGGGGGGGGGAATGGTCACACTGTGTCAAAGTGAGGGTACTCACCAGATTTCGCCAACTGCCGTAGGTTGTTTAAAAGGCTCACAAAAAAGGGGGTAATGGGCACCCCAGGACCCCCCNTCAATTTTTTGCATAGTTTGCTACACAGTTTGATATTTCGTTGTAAGCCAACTACTCACCAGATTGTCATGTCGTTTGCGCCACCTGTTGCAGCTTATTTGCTTAAAAAAGGCTTACAAACCAGGACCCCCCCTAATTACGCCCCTGTTCCTACTCTGATTGGTCGGGAGCTTGCGGAAACCACCGTAACTGAAACTGACTTCGTTGCGGTTTTGCGATTTTTTAAACATGCAAAAAATATGAACCCGCAGATACATCAAAGTTATTGATAACATTTGCATGAGCACAAGCCGTTGCGTTAATCTCGAATTTCTCTTGGTTGTCACTGTTCAGTTTATGTTTTCATAGTGATGGTATCGATATCATAGAATTCCTCTTTTTGTAAGAACGTTGAGGCTCCTTGACTGAAAAGCCAAAGCTTTAGAAGCTATATAGCCTGCGAACATACAGGCTCCCTGTCTAGGGCGAGCGGGGCTAGCCGAGAGCAGTCTGGTGACGAGGAGAGCGTTCGTCTCGCTCAAAATATATATTTCGCACTAAACGGGTCACTTCGCTCACAGGATATTTTTTTTCGCCCTCGCTGGGACCCTGTTTGCAGGCTAGAAGCCATAGAGAATCCATTCTAGTCTGGAGCGCGGAAGGCTGTCCTAGACGGAACCGACTCTTTCCAGTTCTCCCCGTCCCTTGCTTCTTTTATTTTATTCACCGCTGAACAAAATTGTGTTGGCTGCGGGCAAATGGCAAAGAAAAAGAACTCAGCTATCGGTTTAGCTTTGCTATGGTAGACGGCACAGGTAGAGGATGAAGCCATATACGGGATATGAACTGAAACGAAAACGTCTCAGAAAGGTAAAGACATCGCAAGGGAATGTATAATATTTTAATTCCAAGACTCGCAAAATGAGGTGTAGTGCAAAACTTTTTGACTCATTTCATATGGAAATGAGCTTATTGTCAATATTTGCTATTTGTAGAACTTAAACTTGTCAATATTAGAATGTATTATTTTCGGTTACCCTCAGACAGCACGGTTTCACAATCTGTCGCCCTGTGTAAAGAAAACTATGGGCCATCTGATGGCCTATAGTTTTGAGATCGCATCAAAATTCAGAAATTGTGGACCCCTACCTCCTTCACATTGAGGAATAAAATCTTGGAATTCTTAAGCTGGAACATAGGAATGCAGTGGGAGTAATGGGTGAAACGTAATGGGATTTCCAGAAACTTTATGGAATTATGTAGGTATTCAGACACATATTTAATGAATTTCTTTTGTACTATATTTAATGACTTTCTTTAGGAGTGAGAAAATGATTGAATGACCAGTCCACAATTTAAGTGGGGTAGGCCGGGGGGTAGATGCACATTTTTAATGCAATAGCCCGTTGAATTGTAGTTTTTATACTGTTAAGTGGAAACATGTCCAGGCGATGCCACCTAACCTCGTAGAAGCACTTCTAAGTACAATTTACATCACTAGACACCTGATGGATTGATAGAAGTAACAAATCCACTCTAATCTAAATTAAAGCCTGTTGAGCACAGCTGGCTCATAGCTCTTAGCACTTAACTTTGGGTTCTGTATCATGAAGCAGATAGGAGTATTGCTAAGCACACCCTCCCCCCTCTCCACTCCTTAATGGGATTTTAGCCATCACAGATCACCCCTCAGTATTGTGTCAGGCTACTCCAATTATTGGCTAGTGCCCATTTATACTCCTGGCTGGACAGAGGCACTGCAAGTAGTAAGAACACTTCACAACTTCCCCAGCAAGTGCTTGAACTAACCAATAGGCCAGCAAGCCTTTTAATAATAGGTCAGGAGAACGCATGTTGCTGTTCGTTTTTTATGTGGGTCTCTCCTGTAGGTCTGCCGGCAAAGGTTATTAAGCATAATGCAAATGCTATGAGCATATAAGCATAAACCGCAGTGAAAACTGTAGCTTATGCAATATCACAGTTAGTTACCCAGTTTGTAGACACCCTATGTCTTGGTCCCGGGTTTTTCAAAGCATTTCATTTGCATTGTCCAAGGGATACCCTTTTGCAAGCCTTTTGGCCCACCGCTGTCAGTGCATGATTCTAGTTACTGTAGCATAAAGAAACATGGAGTAAGAATATTTTGCTCTCATTCAAACCACATATAAACATCACATATGACCCATCAGTAAAGGATAGCTTCCATATATGAATAATTACACTCCCAAAGATGTCCCTTTGTGTATGCAGTTAATTTACCTATTAGGTAAGTAAACATTTCATTTAGCAAAAGTTTGTTCCTACGAGGGTGGGGTTGTCTGACTTAATTTCTACTGTCCCACACCCTTCAAGAGAACAAGTTGTTGTCACAGCCTAATAGTTGCAAATTGTTCACATTTTGGATCACGTGTACTAAGGGCATCCACAGTCAAGTGCCCATAGACACCCTTGATCAACCCTTGATGAACCTTTGATGAACCCTTGATCAACACTTGTTCTACATTCGATAGATATCTCAATCAATACTCCATTGACACCCAATCAACATCTCAATCAACACCTGATAGACAGGCGGTCAACGATTGACTAACTGTACTTGGTCAATTGACGATTGACACTCGGTGGCTTGTCTTTGAAACATAGTTGACTCTCGACCAACTGTCGCCCGAGATGTTGATCGAGTATCAACGGAGGTGTTGATCAAGTATCAATCGAGTGTTGATTGAGGATAATGGATATTGATCAAGGGTATCGATCAACAGTCAGCTGCAGATGCTTTTGGCACACATGATCCCACCACCCTATCCTAAACAAGTATGGGAGCTGTTTCAGCAAGCCATGCTTAGCCAAGATTATCCCTGATGGGATTTTCCATGCACTTGTGCTTTGTTTCAGCAGGGGAGTGTCTAATGAGAGTGGTTTCACCCAAAGAAATCCCATTAAACCTGGCTCTGGGGTTAAAGAAAATAAAGCAGGAGAGCTTCCTTCAATGTTGATGAGATTCCTTTTTGCTAGAAATATCCCCAGAAGCTTTGGAGACAAGTGTGAATATTAATATTTCAAAATAGGGCTACCTTTAGGTTTGGTTCTTAAATTATTTGATGTCAATAGCCGACAAACCAATCCTTCGATTGCCTTTGGAATCTATGTCTTCCCATGCTGTTGCATTTCCAAAGCCAAACAATGCATATAGATATTTAAAATGGATGGCAGTTGCAGAAAAAAAAAAGTCAAAAGTTATCCATTAAACAGCTGAAATTTATTTTCCAAGATTATTTGTTTAAAAAAATAACACTTCCAAAGCTTTACTGGATCATCAGACTAAAGCAAAAAGAACCAGTTGACCACATTGTACTGTCATATTTGTTCAACTGTGGACCATATAATGGAATCATCGAAACTTGAAGGCATGCTTAAATCCATTATTTTTAGTATAGCATCTCAATTCAATATTAAATGAAAGTTACTATTTCATATTTTGGCAATACTGCCCTGAAAACCTACAGGAGTGCAGAATGGAGAAATTGAAGATCCTACAGTTTCAATGCTGAATCTAACTGTTATGTACAAAGATTGCAGTTGGAGTTTTTAAAACTCAGTGACCAGTCCAAGACTTGGGAGGAAAGGACTTTTTGCAAAACACCTGAAATATTTACTGAAGCATTCTGCTCTCCTGATAAAGCTGATAAAGACTCCAGATATGACATGATGAATTGAAGTCTGTTTTGTAGCTAAGAAGCACACAATTATTTCAACATAAGAAGACCTAATACTAGTCTAGAAGTACTAAGTGGATACTGTAATTAACTATTGTATCACATTCAGTGTATGCAACTTCTTTTAACTTAAAAATTGGTAGAAAAATCAATGGCTCGCATGGGATGAAATCCTTTATGTCAAGCCCTCATGGTCAACTTTCCACTTGGTGAACAATAGTAATTTTGCTCATTATTTAAAGCACATTGTTTTAAAATAGTCTCTGCTGCTTGCCTCAGACCTGAAGAAGTGTCTATTCTTTCCAAAATATTCCTATGTCAAATTTTTTAATAACATTTAGCTACAAAAAACTGCGATAAAATATTTTTTAGAAACATTATAAAAAGTTAAAAAAGTTCTTAACTTTTTGACTTGATAATGTTGTGAAAACATTGAAACGTCGCCTAGCTTTTGAGCTTTTTTTAAACTTTTTATAATGTTTTTAAAAAATATTTTATACCTGTAAGTCAAATTTAAATGCTTAATTGGGCCGTTTTAACCCTTATTTCTAACAATACAAGCCTTAAACTTAGGATTAACAATAGCAAATTTATACTCAACATCAAAAGAAGGATTTTCTACATCAAGTTTAAATAATAATTGTCTGCATAAATGACCAAACTGTTTTTATGTGCTCTGATTTATTTCCTATTGAACAGGAACATTATTCTTCTGGTTTTCAAACAGCACCGACAGTTTGTTCTTTTAACATTGTATAGTTCCATAAAATATCAATACCCACCCCAAGGAAGGTTAGCAGAAATTCCAAGCAGGAGGGGGGGAGTCAAAAGCCNGGAAGGTTAACAGAAATTCCAAGCAGGAGGGGGGAGTCAAAAGCCTAAATTTTTAGAGGAAAGTATGAAGCTAAACCTGAATTTCCAGGAAGTGGGGGTTTAAACTAATAATACCTTCCATGGAAGGGGTATGGATACTTTCTGGAACAACACCTTGCCTAAATATGGCAATACAAATCTGCACTTTTTGTCTAAAGCTGATCACCAGTAACAAGATACCAAAACTCTACTATTCTCCTCAGGGATGGTGAGCAGAAGATATCCACCTAGCTCCTACCTCGCTTGGGAGATATCCACTGTTACTGACTTCTACTTTGGTCTAAAACAACATCAAACAAAACAAGTAGGAAACATTAATTAACAAAACTGGTCATGTTACTGCATCTGCCAGGACATGTACATAGAAGATGCTCTTTGGGCTTGTCATCTAATCTTCTTCCAAGTTGGCGTAATGAGCAAAATGTAAATTGTAGGAGGCTGGTTCAAAGGCTCCCATAGAAGATTGATGGCAACAAACTGTTAACAAATTACTGTCCCTTGATACTTGAACTTCAGTTCAGTCAGCAAGCCACTTAAACTGTCAAGAGAGTGCTTCAGTTTATTAATATGATGAGTTTATGGTGGCACATAGGCTGGAGGTAACCTGTACCCAGAATAAGCTACCTTGCGACTTCCACCAGAAACACTTCCCCCACTGCTGCTGTAACTATAGCTATATGAAGTCTGCTTAAAACTAGCACCACCACCACCTGAAGCCATACTAAAACTGACAGCAGTACCACCAGCGCCACCACCAGCTGTGCCACCAACACCACCACCACTGCCCACTGCACCACCACTGCCACCACTGCCGCCGCCACCGCCACCGCTTCCAGCTCCACCACCAAAGGCACCACCCCCAGCACCACTAAAAGAACCAACTCCTCCACCAGCACCAGCTGCACCACCAGCACCAGCTGCACCACCGCCACCAGCTGCACTGCTGCCACCAGCTAAACCACCGCCGCCACCTCCAGCACCTCCAGCACCTCCAGCACCACCACCACCACCACCACCACCACCAGCTCCACCACCATTGCCTCCAGCAAATGCAACATTGCTACTGCCACCACCACTTGCCATTTGTCTACTAGACATGAAAGTCGGTGCTTGGTAGGGAACAGACTTCGCTTCCTCAATCAAGAGTGGTGTTCTGTCACCACCTAGAACAGGGCTGCGTGGGTACACAGGTGGCACAGGGGGCTTTTCATTTGGCAGGACTATTGGCTGCTTCAATAGCTGTTCCTTGATCTCGTACTCTTCCTGGAGGACAACTGGCTTTCGCTTGTAGATGAAGGTTGTTTTCTCTGCCCCTGTCATTTTCTGCTTTCGACAACATCCCATAAGGATTAGCACACAGCACCCAATGAGAAGGAGAACAATGGCAAGTACAATGGCAGGTATAATTGCATAAGTCCACCATATTCCACCAGGCCTATCTGCAACTAAACCAGCAACAGGCGGTGCAACAACTTTGCATGGAGAAAGCATTTCATAAGAGCCAGATACCACCCTAAAATCTGGAGCAAGTGCCACTACAAACTGTGGATTCAAATCATTGCCAAACCAAAAGCCATCAATGAACTTTGCCAAGGTAGGATGAGAACATTCCTCATATGGCAAAAAATCAAAATAGAATGTAAATAGAATTCCAGGAGTGTAGCTGACCACACGCACGCTGGTGAAGTTTACTCCAAAGTAACTGGCTATCTTGTCTAACAGGAGCACTCTGATTCCCACATTGTCCATGAAGGTAGCATTGTCATAGTCAATCAGAATGTTAAACTTGTGACTGTAAGGAATGTTGTCTTCCGACACACTCACTTCAAATGCATCATAGGCCTCACTTCCTTCCTTGTCAGCAGCCACCATCAAAAACTCGTGTAATCCAATTCTATTAACATCAAAAGGCAAGCCATAAATTTCTTGGTGTGAAGAATTGAGGAGTATCCAAGATGTCCTGAGAAGTTTGTCTCCATCTATTGTCCTCATTTCTAGCTTTAAGTTTGGTGTGTAGAGGTCTTCTTTGTCGTAAAATGTGTCATTAGGAATGTGAAATCGTAACCCTTGTCCCTGGAATACATCCAGCCGATCAATGTGATTGTACAATTGTGGAGGTGTATTATTTGGTGGTTCAGGAGTTTGGCAAATGTCCAGGCCTTCGAACGAGCCAGAAGAGACTAGGAACTCGGGACGAAGAGCATTAATGAAGTTTTCATTTAACTTTTTGTTCATGATAAAGCTGGATTTCCACTTCAACAGCCGTAGGTCATCACATGCTAGATTTGGGATGGCAAACTGGAAGACAGTTGGAACATCTGGACCATAGCTACGGACACGAACATCATGAAAGTCCACTCCAAAGTAAGTTGCAAGCTTCTCCACAAAAATCACTCTTGAATTCACATTGTCTGCAACTGTAGCATCATCAATGACAATAGTAAACTTGTGGTTATAGATATTAGTATCTTCCAACACCTCCACTTTAATTTCATCGGAAGCTCTAAACCCTCCCTTGTCAGTGGCAGTCAAGTAAAACCTGTGCATGCCAATTTTGTTGTTGCCTATAGGTAAACTTATAATTTCCTGCTGTGGAGAGTCAAAAAGAAGAATCCATGAAGTTGGTAGCAGGTTTTCTCCTTTCATCGTTGTCATGAACAACTTGAGTTGGTGGGTGTACCCATCTTCCTTGTCATAGAATGTCTCTCTAGGAATAGGGTACTTCATTGCTTGTCCTTCGAATACAGTTTGGCGCTTTGTAGGGTTGATGGTTACTGGTGGAGTGTTCATATATTCTCCACAAAGTTGGTAATAACCAGAAATTACATTAAAATCTGGAGAAAGTGCTGCCACAAATTTTGGATTTATATTTCTGTCGCTCCAGAACCCACTTTTCACCTTTAAAAGATTTGGGTCGTCACATGGTCCAGCCGGAACAGTATCAAATCCAAAAGTAAATGTATCAGGGTTTTGACTCAAAACCCTAACGTTGTTGTATTCCAAGTCATAATAACTGGCTATTTTATCTATCAGTTTCACTCTCTGGAAAACATCTCTCTTGATTGCATTGTAGTTTTCAATGCGGATGGTGAAGTTGTTTTCATAATTTACGTTTTCTTCCAAGACAGTGATCGTCAAAGTAGTAAATCCTTCCTTTCCTTGTCTATTTCTTGCAACAAGGCGAAAATCATTACGTCCAACTGTACTGATATCCAAAGGTAAACCATAAATGTCCTGCTGATTGGAGTGAAGGAAAATCCAAGAGGACAGTGGAAGTTCTTTATTCTCCATTGTCCTAATGCTCAGCCTCAAGTTAGGTGTATAAAATTCATACTCGTCGTAGAAAGTGTCGTAAGGAACATGGAAGCGTATTGCTTGTCCCTGGGACACTTCTCTTTTGATAATACGTTGTTGATCTTCTGGGCTGCTCTCCAGCTTGGGTGTAATGCCTTCGCAAGGTCCAATACCAAAGTAGTAGCCAGTCAAAATTCTTATTTTGTCTTCTCTAAGGGCAGTTACAAATGACTCATTGACCTCTTTTTTATCATCAATCCAGAAGCCATCTATGATCCTTTTCAAGAGTGGATTGTCACATTCCCCATATGGAATGGAATCAAACCTAAAATGAAAAGATACTCCTTCGAGATACTTGGCGATGCGTACACTAGTTAAGTTTAGCTGATAGTATTTAGCAATTGCTTCCAATAAGAACACCCTGTTTTTAGTATTTCCTGCCAAGTCTTCATAGCTATAGCCTCGAAGGAGGATTGAAAACTCATGATTGTAACGGTTTGTGTCATCCACTACAAGCACCTTCACACTGGTAAAAGTTTCAAGTCCTCCACTGTCAATAGCAACTATGCGAAACTTGTGGTGTCCAACTAAATTTGAAGCATTTGGTTGGGCATAAATTTCCTGCTCTGAAGAATTAAAACCAATCCACGAGGTTGCAGAAAGAGCTTCACCATTTTTTGTTCTAATTTCAAGCTTCAAGTTACGTGTGTAAAAGTCCTGTGGGTCATAGAATGTGTTCCATGGGATGATGAAGTGCATTCCTTGTCCCAAAGACACACTCAGTTGACCAATTTTTTTGTTTACTTCAGGTATGGAATTCTCAGCAGCAGTTGGTGTACATAGTTCAATTCCCTCATGAAAGCCATACAGTATGTCAAACTCTGGAAGGAGGTATGTCTGAAAGTTTGGATTCAGTTCTCTATTATTTCTGCCAAAGCCATCTATGAGATTTTGCAAATTTTTACTGTTGCAGTTCTGGTCTGATAACTCGAATTTGAATGCAAAGAAAATGGCACCATGTTCATACGTGTAGGATGCAAGATGTAACTGAGACAAGTCCAAACCATAGTAGTTGGTAATTTTTCTCATTAGCTGAAGTCGAATCCCAACATCATTTATGAATTTTTTGTGGTCATAATTCAGGCAAATTGTAAACATGTGAGTGAAAGAGGTTAGGCTGTCGGACACTTGTACTTTAAAGCGGTCAGATACAGTTTTTCCACCATTGTCAGTGGCACTGAGAACAAACTCGTACAATCCAATGCTGTCACTTCCGAAAGGCAGGCCATAAATTACTTGATTCAGTGAGTCAAACATTATCCAGGAGGGAAGTTGACCAAGACTACCTGTTCTCATCTCTAGCCTTAGATTTCTTGTGTTGCCATCCTGTTGGTCATAAAACATATCAGCTGGGATTTGATATCGAAGTGCTCTTCCAGTGAAGAAGGTCATTTGGCCAATTGACTTCCGAATGACAGGTACAGTGTTAACAGGAAGGGGACTCCCTGTTGTAGTAGCCAGCATGACAGTTATACTGGGAGCAATAGATGATGGTGGAGCCATTGTGGCCAAAGGTGTTGGAGACGTGCCAGTCAGTACTGGAGTTGGAAACAGATTGCTTACTTGTCGACGTACCCTTTTTTCATGAGGTTTTGGCTGCCCAGTTACAATATGCCACCCACTAACAGGGGCTTCAAGAAATTGTTTAAATGTTCCCTGCTCAGAACTGGACTTCAAAAGAGAGACCATTTTTATTCCTATGACAAAAACAAAACAATACGTGGTTTAAGTACATTGCTTTTTTACACCACCATTTGGTCTTGCCAACACAATCCTACAGATATAAAAACTAACATGTGTGTAGGGTCTAAGGTGACTGAGGTGGACCAGGAAAAGTTGTCTGTTGCACAATACAGCAATAACTGGCAGAGATAGCTTGGGCTAAACAGGAAACTATTTGGCTCTTGGTCAGTTTGCACTGACCTCTCTGGACTTGGTCAGTATGTTATGAACTGAAGTTAAATGTTTTCCCATTCTGCCCACCCACTCATTTAATAAGTTTATAATTTCAAGTATTTTGCAACCAACACTTAACAACTCAATCATTAATTTTTTAAACAAAATTGGGTTTGGAGGAACCAGTTGGTACCTCTTTAGTGCTGGTGCTCACAGGGTTTAAAGAAAATTTTGAATTAGATAGCTGTTTTCAGAAAGTAGCCAGCAAATTTGCTGCTTGTGATGCAAGTACCTGAGCCGGGTTGTTTGAAAGCCAGTTAATGCTAACCCAGGATAAAAAGTTAACCAAAGAATTAATTTTTGTCCACTAAAATATCCATACCAACCCCAAGGAAGGTTAACGGAAATTCCAAGGGGGAGGGGGGGATTCTAAAGCCCAATTTTTTGAAGGAAAGTATGACACTAAAATGGAATTTCTGGAGGGGTGGGGTGGGGGTTCAAGCTGAAAAACCTTCTGTGGGAGGGGTATGGATATTTTCTGGAACAACACAATAGAGTTTTGAACAACCTGGCATTGAAGAACAGAACTGCCCAGCAGAGTGCCACAATATCCATCAGCAGCTGGCCACTTTTGACAACTTTGTCAGAGTGCAAAGAAAACCATTTTTCAAATTTGGCCTTTAGGCAAGCTGTTACTATGATGAACTGTTCCAAAAGTCATTCTCACGTAGCCTCCAAAAATTTATTTCAAGCCTTACCTTAATCAGCTTTAGACATTTTTCCCAAAACACTTCACTTGTTCATTGGGCAAGCAAAGAATGGATTCCACTAGCCTGACTGCATAATTATTAAGCGTTTCTTCTGCTCAACTTTTACACCAATAAGTATTGCCAGTCCCTCTGGATTACATGCACATGTTAGCAGGCTGTTAGCCAAGATTTGAAAAGTGGGCATCTAAAATGTGCTATAGGGCCTGCTCAAATGAACAATTTAGCAAGCAAAATATGAAAAATAAAATGATTTTCTTTAATAAGTGGCCGCATCCACAGGGTGCCTGGATGTCCGTTTGGCTAAAAGCCTGCATGTTAGTCCCTTGCCAGTTATCTTCCATCATAATGTGTCAGATCTGACCTAGTAATTTACTAGTTAACAGTAGCATTGATTCAT